AACTCATAAAAATGCAAAAACAAATCCACTTGTCAATTTGCTAATTGCTGTGGCTTTCGTTTTAATTGTGACCGCAGCTCTAACCAAATGGCAGCCCATAAAAAACCCAGCCATAAGCTTTAGCCAGAAAAATGTTAGAGAAATAAACAGACAAAAAAAAAAAAAAAACACAACCTAATAAAAATAAAATGGTGGGTGGGCTTAGTATGCCAAGTGGGAGTTGGGGTTGGGGTTTGTGGGTTGGGTTAAGGGATGCCCTCTGGCATTTCTGGCACAATTGAAGCGTGTTATTAGCTCTAATTGTTATAAAGCCCTTTTAATTGGGTGTCTGATAAAGTTGCGACTGACTTTCCACACAGTCTTTTGTGGCAGCATTTACCTTAATGGAAAAGGTCCTTTGTGCGATTTGTGCCGCATCCAAAAAGACTTTTTCTAGCTTAGGCTTAACCTTTCTTTTCACTTAACTTTTGCCCAAAGTATTTTTCGCACAACGCCACATTGCGTATGCGTAATGCGCAGTACATCTTTGCCAGGGCCAGACTAGGAGAGGCCAGGGCTGGGGTCACCTCATTTGTTTTTCAGAGCTTTTTGTTTTAAGCATCTTGTTAACATGCTCCTTTCAACTTGCGGTTTAATTAATTTTCAATGTATTTGTGTGCGCGTGTGTGCGTGTGTGTGTGTGTGCGCGTGCCTGTGTGAATTTGTGGCAGCAGCGCAAAAAAACCAAACACGCTAGGATACGCCATATTTGCAATTACCTACGGCTAGCTTACAGACTGTTAAAGGTTCTTCTTATCTTTTTTCTTAATTTTATACTTTTATTATAATGTTGTCATGAAATGTATAACGCATTAGAGAATTCGTCTTCGATCCCACATAATATATATATTCTCTATCAAACCAGTAGGTAAAGCCATGTCCTGTCTGCATAATTATTTGCAAACTGGTATCTCAGTGATAAGGCTACCTTGATGAAACGTGTAATCCAGCTGCCTTATTGATTCAGGGCACATCGCAGCACTAAATCATATATAATGCTTAATATATTTACTATTTGTCAAGAAATGAGTTCCAACAAGTAACGAGATTAATTATGCACCTTAAGTTTTTTATGGCATTGATTAATTTTATGCCTAATATCCCATTGCTACAAAAATGTCCTTATGAGTGAGTGCACCAATCACAAACAGATGTTGCTTTTATAAATATATATAAATGTATATATCAATCAATAACTCTCCCATTATGATGTATTAAAGTACGGTAATTTTAAAATACTTATCTGAAAGCTGTTTGCATTTGTTCACTTAAGTGGCAAGGCACAAGAACTTCTTTGTCTATGGCTGAAGTGCTATCTGTGGTCAGGCTTGTGGAATCGACCAATTCGATATGAAGAAAAATTGTGCACCATAAATATCGCGCCGATAATCCCAGTTAAAAGCTCAAGCATTTGTTTGGATTTGCTCTAGCATTTTGTATAATTTTTTACTAGTATTAGAAGTGCTTTTGGACAGCTTGCTTGCTGCCAGTCTGTCTGTCTGTGTGTCAGTGTGTTTGTCTGTGTGTTTGTCTATCTGCCGCCTGCTGGTTAATGGCAGTCGATTGCTTGTCTAAAACGAATGGCAGGCCATTAGTTATGGTGCTGCCAAAGGGCTTATTAATATGCGCCGTGTGCAGTGTCAGTGTGCTACTGCCCAACATTTTAGCGTAATTTGCTGGCCAAAAATCGTTGGCCCAAACTCACAGGTGCTCCATAATCGTCATCATGCGGTGCTGCTACTATCCCTCTCTCCCTCCCTCCCTTCCTCCCTACGTGTGTGCGATGTTGTATGTGGTTTGCGGACATGTAGTTGTCATCAATGCAAATACAACACAACACATACACATACTTGTCAGCATCGTCGTCAACCTCGCATGATTGATCAAGAGCGTGCGTGCCAGGGACAGCATCAAGCAGCAGTAACAGCAGCAGATAAAGCTGAAGCTGATGCAGATGATGAAGCTGAAGCTATTGCTCTGGCCCTGTGTAGTCTGAAGCACAGCGAGTGCCATTGCCGGCCATTTTTCTGACATTTAGTTGACAGAGCAAAAATTTTTGTTTGTCCGTAATGTGTCCTCGACAATGGTAGGACATGGCTATCGACAGGCACATTTACATCGCTCGTCATCTCTATCTGTGTGGGGATGAGTGTGTGTCTGCGTATGTGTGTGTGTGCGGACCGTGTGAGTGCTTAAAAAGCATTTCACGCCGAGCACAGCGCAAAGCTTCAGCCAGTAAGCAGAGGAGACACTCAAAGCTTATTTGACATTTATCAGTGCAGCAGCGGGGCCAAAGAGCTGGATTACTTCGATTCCAGTTCATCCCTCCAGCCTGGCATTGGCTTTGGCATTGATGGAGCTGTTTAAAGCATGTCCAACGCATTTTGCGTTCCAGCCGTGCGAGCGCACAAAAATTGTAATGAAAAGTGTCAGAGTGCCCACAGAGTATGTGTGATAATCCAATTGGCAAGTCTCCGGCCGTAGGACAAGAGAGCGTTCTCTAATGCAATTCGTGATTCAGCATAAAATGCGACCGACACACATTCAACGACAATCGACGACAATAATGCGCCCACACCACACCATGCCACACCGTGCCACGGCTTGCCACGCCTACAATTTATTGGATGTCCTCCTTTTCGCCGCTTATCGTACGTTGCCTGTCTGGCTGGCTGCCTATTTGGAGCTGGGCCCCGTCGCACTATCAAACGGTCGGATAGGCCAATTGCCAATTGTCAGATACAATTTATTCTTCCCTTAGATGTTGCCCGCCAGCCGCAGCGACACCCAGCAGCACCCAGCGCCTGCCACGCTTGCCACGGCTGCACTAAATGCGAATTGAAAATAAAATATTACACCGAGATTGCAGCGACACAGTGTGAAAACAAAACTAAAAAAAAAAACAAATAAGAAGGATCCAGCTCAGAGAGCTGAACTAGCAAATACCCTGATGTCCTCTGTTTGTATGTATGTAAGAAGTCTCTAGTCGAGAGAGCTCGAATCAAGTCCAGTGACCAGTGTTATACTAAGATACCTTTCTACTTGCATACAAATTGTGCATTTTATTGCTCTAATCGAAAATCGGTAATCGATTTTTATCGGCATTGGAAAAGTGAACTAAGTTATCAAGCAAATGAAAAAGACTTCATATTCATATGATATACGAGAACTTTTATTGAATGAGATGCAGAAGATATAAATATGCTAGACGGAGCTGGAGCTGCTTCATGCTGCCTATCAAATGCATTTGCCAAACTTTATTATACCCCTTCTTCAGACTTTCACTGGGTTCAGGGTATAAAACGCATACACACACAGCAAAGAACCAACAATGATATCCAGCTTCATAGCCAAAGCTACCCAATCCCAGTCCCTCATCCTGGCTGAAGACAAACAAACATCCAATGCAGCAAACAGCAACACGATTACGCCGCTGGCCATGCAATGGCAGAGGGGGAAACTGTGCGAAGGGGAGGGAGGGGGGATTGGCGAATCCAGCAACGGTGACGATCATCAAGCGTAAAAGGAATCGTAAAACAAAAGCGACAGATAGTTTCCAGCATACCATAAAATCAACAGCAAAAACAACAAGAACAACAACCAGCAGCAGCAGCAGCAACAGAAGCACCAACAACAATTGTTAGCAACGTGGCAGTAGCAGCAGTAGTTGGAGGCAACACCAATCGATTGTGTGAACTTTTTTGGTGGCGTTAAGTGTGGGTGGTAATAGCGTTGGCAGTATTGGTGGTTCGGCTGGTTTGAGTTGTGTGTGTGTGTGTTGGGATAGGTTGCCCAATGCGGAAAAGGTAGAGCTCCCGTTGCTGCTGTCGTCGTCCCGATAGCGAACGCAGCCACTCTGCTGCAGCACTGCCAACGACAGCAACGTCATCAACAGTGGCTCTCTCTGTTTTAGGGTGTCTTCGTTAGGCTGGTGCTTAGCAACGACTAACTAGTGACTACAACTATTTTAAACAACTTAATAAATAAGTGTAAAAAAATAGAATGCAGATTCCCTTAGAAGCTCGTATTCTGTTTGAGAAATGACACAAAAGTGGCTACTGGCTAAGCACTGAGCAATGCTTTTTAGGCACCAGTCTAAAACAAGATTCGTTGCAGCATGCACCAGAGTGCAATGCTGTGAAGTTCTCTGCCCCTTCCCACTGGCTGCTGTGACACCTTGAGGCGCTGTTGGCAAACTGCAGAAATCACATAAACGTGAATACCATCGATGTCGATGTCGTCGTCGTCGTCGTCGGTGCTGTTGTTGCTTTTATTGCTGTTGCCTTTGCCCGCATTTGCACAATCACAAAAACACATAGAATAAGGGGAGCGGAGAACTAGGGGTGCACTAACATCGTTCGATGGGCGTGTCTATGATGGGGGGGCGTGCAGATTTGGCAGCGCAAATGCTATGAAGCGTTAGACAACCCACATGAGGCGGCAGCAGCAGCAGCAAGTGCAACGTAAAAATGCATAAATCCATGGGATTTAAAGATTTTTGTCGGAATTTGTGATTTTCGCATTCATTTTTATTTTCCACGATGCCTTCAGCTGCGCTGCTGCTGATGCTGCTGCTGCCACTGCACTTTTTTCTATTCTTCGCTCGTTTTCATTTTCGTTTTTTGTTTTAGTTCACAGCGCTTGCCCCACGAAGGGGGGGCGTTGGAAAGCGGCGTGACTGGATTTACGCGCTGTCCCTCTGCAAGTATGTGTGCAGTGTTTGTGGATACGTGCCCCACCCGCCACCACCTTCCCCCCTTCGCCTGTTTAGCACCCGCAATCAGCAAGCGCTACAAATTTCATATGACATTTTAAGTTGTTTTGCATTGCACCCGCCCACCTCAAAAAACTGTGTACCCTGCGATTACTTTTGATTTGCTTTCCATAGCAAAAATCTGAAAAATCTGAAAAAGTCTAAAAATCCAGCGAACAGCGCTTTGTGCCCGAAAATTTCGTTTCATTTTTCAAATGCATATTTTTATTGCGTTATCCCCACTGAACATGTACAACTTGAAATGTAACAAAAAATAAAACGTGTGTAAAAAAAAGGAAAAAATGATTTCAAGAACTGATCAGGATTGATTATAGACACCCACCAGCAGGTACTGTCCCCGCACATAGGGCTGCAACGAGATCCGCTCGATGGTGTCCAACTGTTCGGCATGCAGACGATTCATTGCCTTGATGGAGTCGTGTGCCGCACCCGGCAGCATTATGGCAAAATTCCCACCCGGCTTGAGAAAGTGTCGGGCGTGGAGTATCAGAATGCGCAGCTGTTCATGGTGCTGGGTATCGCAGAATATGAAATCGACGCGATCCTCAACGAGCTTGCGATATTTGTACGGCAACATGGGATCATCGATGATGGCAACAACGTTGTGGCGTCTCTTTGCCATCTCCAGCAGCTGGCCGTTGGCCCACGGACTCGTCTCCACAGCGTACACAATGCCAGAGTCGCCCACAATATCAGCGATATGTGAAACGGGGCAACCAGTTGCCACACCCAAATAGATCAGCTTGGTTCCTTCGACTATCTGAACATTTTTGACACCTTTGAGCAAGGCAGCTGCCAACTTGGATTGATAGGGCGACCAATTGCGAAACATGCAGCGCTCCTCATTCAACTCTGCTGAGAAGGTGTCCTCGCCATATCCCTCGTCAACGGGGATGGTGCAGCGAGTAACCAATTTCATTTGGAAGTCCTTGTCAAGTGCTATGTAAGCACCGCTATTCTGATGTGGCACAATGGAAATCTCCGACTTGGTGCTTTGTACGGACGCATTTGGCAGACTATACTCACTGCTATTATCACTGCCATCAGTACTATCAACTAAGCCAACATCGTCCACAGTCAAATCCAACTTACTCCATCCACGGCCTTTAGCTCGGCCATTTACCATCGCACTGAATATTTATGTCAATGTGTGAACTTTAGTCTGTTTTGTAAATATACTTATATGAGTGAGTCAAGAATCAGAGAATGACTCATATTAAACTTGTCAGCTTGTACTTATTGTTTTATTCAATGAGAACTTGAAACAGTGCACAGTTTTAAGAAGGCTTTAATAAATAAATAAATAAGAAATGTCTAGTGTAAAATAATCTAATATTTATTGCAGGGATTGTGGATTGAAAAGAGGAATTTATAAGAAACAACGTTAAGAAAAGAGAAAACTAAACAGAGATAAAACAAAGAAAATATGGGCAATTCTTTGAACCTGTGGATTAAGATAAGATTATCACAGTTAAGCATGCTCCGAGGTTTGCCGTAGATATATTAGTAATGAAAATTCAATCAAATGACGAGACAGTTCCATAGAGAATATGTACGTGAAAGGTTTAAGTGAAGCGTAATCAGTTGTGCAAGGCGGCTAAACTAAAAGCAGAGAGGTCTACTAGGAATAGAAAAGTTTAGACAACCAAATAGAAAAGCAGAATCAACTTCATCATTAATTAACTTATGTAGGAAGACGAATAAGAAGAAGCTCGCTGCCTTATACTGAGCAGTCCAGTAATATACATCATATATAATGCCAGCCAAGTTTCCTAAGGTTCTCGGAAAACTCATCTGAAGTTTATCTGATTTTTTTTTCGATGATTGTATCTGAGCAAAGTTAGGTGAAGATCCATTCTTTCAGTCTCGTCTGTTTCTGGAGTGTCTCTTACAGTTAGACATAGAATTTTAAATTTCGGTTTTGCATAAAAACCTCTTAAGGCCTTTTGAGATGCGGAGTTTTAGCTACGTGATTTAATGAGCTGTTGATTTGCCAAATGCGCGTGAGTCAATTTGCAGGCAATGGCCAGAGCGGGATAGACAGAGAGGGGCAGATAGGCAATGCATATATTTACAGCCAGCAAACAGGACACCAAAGAAGGCAGCTAACTCATATTTGGCTTTCATGCAGCGCGTTTGTAACAATTTCGCTAGCGCCGGACGAGGGCACAATATTATTTAACATGTAAATCAAGGCAGAGCCAAAGCGGCGAATCTAACAGTGCGCTGCGCAAACTTTTTTAATTTCAAAGCAAATAGCGACGTGGGAGGTGAAGTGGCTCTGGGGCCGGGTCATCTGATGGTGGGGTAGTTGAGTGCTGCAGATCATGTGGCCCAAACGCGTGTTGGATATATAGTCACGTACTTGTCAACGCCCTTTCAGCTCCAACTTTAGCAGCTAGAAGTAATTATGTGTGTGTGTGCAACAAAATCCAAGTCTACTACATACATGTAGTGTGTGTGTGTGTGTGTGTGTGTGTGCCTGCAAATATTGACGCTCAACTTTTATTTAAGCGCGCGCTAATGTTCAAGTTTTCTGCTAAAAGATAAATATTACGTATTCTAAATCGCGTCAGTGTCTGCACTGAATTTGCCCTGCTTCACGCCTCACCTTTCTCTAGCCATGGTGCTTGCCACCCTTGCGATTCAAACTCAGGGCGGCCATTTACTCATTTAACTGACAGTTAAAATTACAAACGCTTATCATGTACCAGAATCATATCATAGGGAATAATTTATTATGCTCGACGCTTAATGTAATTCCCGCGGAGTGATGTCCCTGCCAGTGTTTGTGTGTGTGTGTCAATGTGAGTGTGTGTGTATTTGAGTTAGAATAAAGTACGTAACATCAAAATGAATATGTGTACACACACACACACACACACACACACACATAGAAACACACACGCTCAAACACATACGCAGTAACAGAGACATAGTTCTATTTACCCAGCTTGTTTCTCCATCTGCCAACACTCTTAATGTATACATACATACATCTATGGAAGAATAGAAGTATATATACATATATATATATATATATGTATACGTATATATTTAGACGAATGTAATTGTAACCATATATGTATGTGTGTGAATGTGCTGGTTTATGTTCTGCACCCTGAGGTTAATTAAGATTTTGCCATGCATTTGTTTTGGCATTGCGCGGGTGCTTAACTTCCTCGCTGGGTATCTGTAACTGTATCTGTTTCTGTATCTGTATCCACATACACATGTATCTATAGCTGTATCTGAATTTACGTCGCCATTGCCAACGACTCGTCAAGTTGCCGAAATGAAAAAGTTTTTATTAAGTTGTTGTAATCCCTAATTAAATGAGAGTCGCTGTTTGTAATTAAATGCTGCATGGATTATGATAAACTTGTTTAAATAATTTCTGAAGCGCTACCATTTGAAGTTTACCACATCATATAGAGCTGATTTAATTAGATTTGTGAGCAAAAAAAAAATACATTCACATATGATAAGACTACAAGAAATACAACCCTACAGTTAATATAATTATTTATTATTATTATTATTTCCCTCAATCCTAATGCTTGCAAGAATTCAAGAATTTTAGTCGACGTGAAGGTTTATATATCTTCAGAGCTTAAGAAATGATTCTCGAAGGTACTGCATCTTCTTCTATATTTGAGGATTCCAAGTCCATGCCTATATTGTTTCCGATTGTAGCCGCCTAAAATACACTTGGGCAGTCTTAGATATGTTGCCTCTAGATATGTTACAATCTCTCGATTGTCACAGATTGTGTATTTTTAATTTAAAAAGCAGTTATAATCGACATGCATACACATTTCAAGATTCCACTTGTGTCCGATTCAATTTGCCACTGCCATGACATTGACCTCGAAGTTCTTGTAAAAAATCCATCTAAAATTATATAAAAGATGAAAACTGTTGTACTTCAACTTACTTTGCATTAAAGTTCGTATTAAATATAATGCATACGTCAGCTAGCCTTGTCAATTAATTAGCACATAAACATATGAAACTTTGAGAGACTTGAAAAAAAAGTAAGGAAGCATTGAGATGGCTTTTTCTTCGTATGGAGCAAACAAATGTGGATGCGAGTGCCGCACATAATTTAACAAAGTGAACTACTTATTTGGACGAACAACTGCAGCAGCAACAGCAGCAACAACAAAAACAATAATAATAATAACCTCGTTGGCAGCAGTAGCAGCAGCAACAAACATTCGACTTTATATTGTGGCTGTGGTTTCCTCCTGGCGCTCTCGCAATGTACATAAAACTTTTTCGAGGTACTACAAATGCTTAATGCACTTCCTTGCATTGCCTGGCAGACTCCTCTAGCGCTCAGGCATTCTGCTGCTGCGAGGCCTGCAACCGTTGCCGAAACAAGCAAATGAAACTCAAGTGCATGTAGCAGCATCGCTGGCCAAGTGGCACAAAAAAAATACACGAAATGAAAACAGCCAAGGCAAAACATCAGTCGGCACAAAATAATACAAAAAAAATACCCAAAAAAAAAATAAAATAAGAAAATACAACAATGAAAATGCAAGCGGGTGGGGAGTGAGCTCAAATTTTTAATAAACTCGCCCATTGTGGCGCTGGCCGGCCGCACTTTCGTTGCACGGCTTCGAGGCACAACGGCAGTCTAGGGCCGCACCATCAGAGATGAGCGCGTGACACGAAATGCTAAAAAATTCGAATATGTGTTGAGCTAAAAAGAAAGCTGAATTTAACACGACTATAGACTGTCCAAGGGGAAAAAGGCATTCAAATGACCGTTCATATATAAAATAGAATAAATAGTCATAAGAATAAATAGTCCAGAAACTCAACCACAAACTAAAATAATCTATCAATTTAGTTAATGATTAAATCAAATTTATTGTAAAAATACACAAAAATAATAATAACATATTATTAAATGAAGTTGTGTCAAAGGGTAAGGCTTTAAAAAAAAAACTCTTATAAAAAACAACAGCAATAATTATATCAACATAGTCTATGAATTTATCTGTATTAAAGGTAATTATTCTTGTGATAGAATTTTTCCATTGCGATATATAAATCTAAATATATATAAATCTAATAAATCGAATATATATAAATATAAATAGAATAAATCTAATATATATCTAATCTAAATCTGCTAATGCTGTTTATACTATTTATTAAAGTGAAAAAAAAGTGTTTAAAATAATAAGCAGGTGTATTATGATTATTCCGATACGTTTTTTCAATTTGTGCATTGTACTCGTGTAGTATTTTATAATAAATAAATAAAAACGCGATCTGCGCTCATCTCTCAAATGCAAGTGCTTGTTTTTTCCAAGTTTATTTATGCGTATTTTGCTTGGAAATGTTGGAAATGGCAACTTTAGGCCGTCTGTTGCCGCTGTTTGCCAATTTCTAGCCGAACACGCTGCCTCTGCCGTCGTCTGTCAACTGCATAATGAGCCACAGCCAACAAACTTAAGCGACAAAAGTCGCTGGCTTAGTTCACTGAATGAGCCAAACGAATGTAAAAAACAAAAAAAAAAAATTAAAAAAAGACGATGTCAAAAACTCAATGAAAATGCGATTTTAACAGCAACGGGACACTTCAGTTGAAATTTAGATATAACGCTTTTTAAAGTTTATCAAAATATCAGCTTAGGGCACTTATCCGGAGTTTGCTGCAACACATGAGCTGCCACCTTGCTGCAGTGGCATTTACCCGATGGGAAACAAGATGGCACCCGCACAAGAGTAAAAAATAGAAACAATAACAAAAACTATAGCATACTTATTCGCGCTGGCAAGCCAAAACGCTTAGCAAGCTTTTGGCCAACGCCGTGCTGAGGTCCTGACTGCAATGTAGGGCTGGCACGTTCGACGTGTCCCAAAATGTAAAACTGCCATCCTACAAAAAATGCATTTTTAAAATACTTGAGCAAATGGCAACAAACGGTGCCAAGTTTGGCAGCTTCGCGGCGTTTGGGCCCCGTAAAATGCAAAGAAAAAACAAAAAACAAAAACAAAAATAAAAAAGGGACAAAAAAATAAGAGCTTCTGCTGCAAAAGCTTTTGTTGTTGCTAGCTGACTTTTGGCATAACATTTTCAGCATATTTGTTGCAGTCAAAACACGTGTCACATGTGCGTGTATGTGTATGTGTGTGTGTGTAAATGTGTTTGTGCCATTAGATCCTTTAGTCATGTACCGGCTGCAGCAAAACTCACGTGTCGCGTTTGCAGCTTGCCAAAAACTTGGCCGCAAGAGCGCACACACAAATACACGCACACACACACACACACAAACACACACATGCACACCTATGTTGCAACTGCAAGTGCAATACTTATGGTTATTTATTTTACAGTTGGCATCTCATTTAGCATTGACATTCCTGTCCACATTTTAATCAATATTTAAATAGTTTAACGTAGAAAAGTGCACAGTAAATACAAACATCATTTTGCATAAGAACTTTTAAACCAATTTTGTAAAAGAACTTTTTAAATAATGTAAGTATTTTTATATAGTTTATGATTTCCGCAAATATTTCATTTATATTGTTTATTAATCAATATTTAATCAATCAAGGCAGCCTGAATGAAAATGTGGAATACTTTTAACGAAATCTTATCGTAATCCTCTTAGCATTTTGCTAATGAAAATTGCATTTAATTGAATAATATGATTAAATGTTGACGATTAATTCACAAACGGACTTTGAAATGGCTATTGTAAATTATCATAAAAAGTTATATTACATTTTTGTAGTCACCAGTTGTAATTTGCGTCCTCGGTAAACAGTTTTAATCTTTATTGATTTCCAAAATGACAACTTTTAATTAATTCATTATAGAATTCGTTAAGCCGAAACAAAACCAAATAATTTCCTGCTCTTTTGAAAATTACGCTGAGTATATACTGAAGTAAGCATTGCGATTAAAGGATACAAAAAATGAATGCTTGTTCACTATTATGTTTATGGTATCCTTATCGATAAATGTAAAGAAACGAAAGTCAACAACAGAGCAACCACCTTGGGGGTTGGGGTTTAGTCATTGTTGTCTAGCAACGAGTTGGAAGATGATTACTTTCAGGCAGTGACTGATAAGCTAGTTGCGATTTGTAGAGCACAATTTTTACTGGCCAACAAATAAAAACTAATTTTTATTTTGGTGTCTTTTCTATTTTTGATAAGCTCCTTGGCAGCTTAATATCTTTTCTTGCAGCCTCAGCCGAAAAACACATTTCCGCTTGTTGCATTGCATTCAATGTGCGTCTGTCCGTCTGTCTGCAGACTGCTGGCTGCTGTCTGAAAAGCGCCAGAAGACAGGCATGTGGCTAATAGGATTTCACCATCAGCAACAGCAGCAACAACACCAACAAAGCACATCAACCACTAGAACGACAGGCAAAGCCTTTGGATTTTGCAATTCCATACTTGGTTGCACAAGGCCGCATGCCACTGCGGCTGCCACTTGCTGTTGCATGCTCTTATCATTCCTATGCTAAATATATTTGCAACCAGTGAAAAAGGCACAAGGGATAGGTCATTATAGTTGACGTGTGTTTGGAGAAGCTGCAAACAGAAATATGCATATCCTATTTAAATAAAATACATTTTGACAAAAAATATATATTAATTAATATGATTGCCATACTTTATTAGACTTTTTCGATTGACTTTCATTCGTGTTCAGAGCATATGGAAACTTATGTTTATTTCAAAAAAAAAATACCAAAAACCCATTTAAAAAGTAAAAATTGAAGGAAAATAAATAATAAATTACTAATCAGTTTAGCAACACTGATTTAAACTTACTGCAAGAAATCACAAATAACAGAAGACTGTTGAAGCCAGATTTCTTTATGCAGATTTTTTTAATTTGAACTACAAAATCTGCTTAAAAGGACAGATATTTGATGCGATATTTAAAATTGCATTCTAAATTCCAAGTATTAGTTAACATTATGTTACATAGCTTAACAGACAGGTTAACTAGCTTAACAGGCATGTTAAAACTCTCCACTAGCTGTTAGACTAACAGCTGTGGTTGTTAACAGCGCCACAAAGCGACAAATGGCGGCAAACTGCTCAAACAGATGCTCTTAGCGAGAGCGTCAAATACAATAGAAAGGCGCGCCCAAAAACAGTCGGCGCTCTCTCTTAAAAAGACACCCAAAAACTGCTCGTTCAACAACAGGCAGACAGACACGAAGGCAAAGCAGCAGCAGCAGCAGCAGCAGCATCCTTACAGCATCTGTGCCGATGTGAAAGAGTTGCCATTTGGCGCTCTTTGAGAGCGAGCGTCAGCGCCGGCAACGATACGAAGTGCGCATATGGGAATCGAGGACATGAATGCTACTTTGGACAAGTGGAGTCGCTGTCGCTGTCGCTGTCGATGCCGCCGCCGCCGCAGCAGCCGCTTTAAATTGCCAGCCGGCCCTGGCCGTAACCGTTGCGCGCTGTCAGTTAGACGGCAACTTTTGTGCAAAACGGTGCGTGTGTGCGGTGCGGTGCGGGCGGGTGGCACAACGACAACAGCAACAACAACGACGACGACAACGATTCGTTAAGCCAACAAATGGCAAATAAATAAGAATATGAAAGATTTGCATGCGTCATTATATGTGTGAGTTTTATGCACGTTTGTCACTCGCTGCATGTGTGAAATTATGCACTTATGCAAATACATGCGGCAGTGCCAGACGTAAATGCAAAAAAAAGAGAACAGCAGCAGCAGCGACAAAAAGCCGACTGTTGCACAAGACTCATAAATATAAACACACAGTAAATGCCAGCAAACTGTGCCACAAACTCAATGCACATTTGAGTGTGCATATGTGAGTGAGTCTCTGTCTGTGCCTGTGTGTGTGTGTGGGTATTTGTAGGCCAGTCAATGAAATGTTTGTTAATTATTTAAATGTCTGTGCATTAGATTGTCATTAAGTAATTAACTTAGATTCAAGCGCAACTAATCAGTTGTCTATGTGTGTGTGTGTGTGTGTGTGTGTCTGTATTCACTCAAGTACAAATCCTTGAGTGATACACGTGGCGTATGCGCATTTTCAATGCACAACAATCATTCACAAGGCTTATGTATTTGAGCATGTAAATTGAAATACATGCATATATACATATATATATATATATATATGTATATATATATCTGTAAATATATATGTGAATATTTATTTGCTTTTGGGCACCTATCAATTTGGCTTTGTCCGCTGCTGCTGCATTCCTTCTTCAACTTGAGGCTGGAAACATTTGCGTAATTGACATTATTAAGGGGAAGAGTGTCGGAGTAGTTATCAATTTTGAATTGACAATGTTTACAAAGACATAAGATTGACATAAGTCGACTGCCGACGGTTGATAGCAACTGTTTACTCACTTGTTGACTTGTTGCACACACGCACACAAAAGACAAATAAACTGCACTTGAGATGTGATATGTGATATAAGCCGTAGTGAAATTTTCAAATAATCTACTCTCAGGGCAAACAACGTAAATTGGAATTGGTTTAAGTGAGTGTTGGTACATATATATAGACAGATTTATATCGCTCTCCTGTCAAGCTTCATAGATTTGGTTAGGCAACAGTTTAGGTAGGAAATTAAATTTGCCTTACAACACACATTCCCCCAGATATTTTTAGTGGAAGGAAAACAAATTAACTAAGAAACCGGCTCAAGCTGCTTGCCACTGTTATTAAAAAAAGAATGCTTCGTCGTTGTGAAACTTTGCCACGGTAATTTTAATAAACGCGTCAATGAAACCAAAACAATGATGACAGCAAAGAGCAACAAAAGGCAGCTACAACAAAAACAAAAACAACAACAGCAAAAATGAGTCAAAGTTGACGACAAGGCAGCGCAAAAAGAAGCCACAATTTGATTAGAGCATTAAAGGACTTTATGCCACAAAGCCCGAAGCGCCACAGGCTCCACAGGGACACGTTGACTGGCAATAGAGACAGGCACGGAGCGGTGGACGGGATTGGCTACTGTTTTTGGCCTCTGCCTCTGTTGGCAGATAGACAATCGACTGAGCTGAAGCAGACAAAGTTGCCGGCTGCCACATTTCCATTTTGGCAAAAAACTGTCAACGTTTAAATAACGCTGACAATGACAATAAACAAATGCAATAGCCGCCCAAAAATTTGGTAAAACAAAAAAAATAAAACTTTATTATAAGCAGAAATATCCTAAATTAAAGCACTTTGCTACTAAATACCCTGTAATATCAAGAAAAATTAATCTACACGTTTATATGTTGTTTAGGGTTGCTATTAATGAGGGATTTAGAGAACTGAAAATTAAAAAACTCTCTTTGTGGAGATAAAAATAAAATATAGAATACTCGCAATTGATTTATTTTGGTGTTATTCTCGTGTGTTGAAATTGTATAATATCTATATATGCATATGCATTTAAACTGAAAAAATAAAACAAAAACTGTTTTTTAACTTTGCCTCATATTCAAATGCTGAAAAAAAAAACACATATCCACTTCAAATACCTTTCAAAACAGCATATGAAAAGTCAAAGCAAAACTTTCCTAATACCGGACACAAGTTAGAAAGTCGACAACACACAGAGTGTGCGAGGGAGAGAGAGAGAGAGAAGATGTGTGTGTGTGTGAATGTGGGAGTGTGCTGGACTGAATGCCGCACTTTGACGCCAAAAAAGTTTTCAAATTTAATAACCTTAAAGCAGAGCGACAAAAAAATAATGCCACTAGAGGCTTGCCCATATTTTTAGGCAAAGAGAAGCGAGAAAAAATAAAAAAGAATAGAACCCAACGCTTGCTCCAATTTGTTGGCCTGTTAATGGAACTTGTTCGATATTGATATACTAAATATATAATCATGGCCGACGCTGGTGCAAAGTAATATGTGCAAAGATTGCAAGACTAAGTTTATGGAAACATGCACGGACAAAGGTTTATGTGTTTGGCTTAAGCACGGTTGGCAGGTCCTTTAAGGCCACACTCAACAACAACAACAGCAACAACAAAAACAAAAACAACAATGGATTTTGGCAGCTGGCTGCTGCAGCTGGTCATCTACTGGCTGCTGGGTAAGTTTAAAGCGAGTTTAAAGCCGACTCTAGCCGGTAATAATAATAAAAATATTTGAAACTTTTCATTTTATTGCCTTTTCCTTTTAATCCCTCTAAGCCGTCCAACCTTTTTACGACAAAGTCGACGACGTGGGCAACTTTGCGGTTGACTTAAGCACAAACACACACACACACACACATACACACACGCACAAAACGGGTGAAAAAGAGAGCAGGGATTGTTAACCCCGCACCTGACCCCCGTGGCCTTCAACGGCGACACCATGAAAAGTCATTTAGGCATTTCCGTTTCCGCTTTGCGCTTTTGTGCACTTGCCTTTTGTTGCTGTTATGACCCAAACTCAAAATTAGCATAGCAATAAATGTGTTTGTTGTTGCTGTGTTGCCGTTATGTTTGGGCGCCTGCCTGTGCAAATATGGTATTGGGTAAGACTGCATAAATTTATGTAAATTTTGTGCCACTAAATTGTTTTTTAAATACACTTTCAATTATTACTCAACCGCATGGCCAACGTGCCAAATGAAACACAAAAAGTCGCACATAAATATCTAATATCAATTATAATTATACTTTATATGTCTAAATATGTTTTTTAATATATAATAATGCTTTATCTTGTTGCCTTCGCATTTAGGAATTTTGTCAATGAAAATAATTTAAATTTAAACACTGAAATGTGTTAGTCATGGAATTTTCCATGTTTCACTTGATTCCTTTCTGGCCAGCATCTTTTACCTTCCCAGCTGAGCAACAGAAAATCAACAAGATGAACTGTAAAATAGTACAAAGGCAAACGAAAATAATTCGAAAGGATTGCTTTGACACATATTATCCAAAATAATTACAAATAACAAAAATTTATTGGAACTCAATAGATAGAATATATTGACATCATGTAAATTGATTGGGAGATATGCAGATAAATTGTAGATATTTTATTTAGTGTTTTTTCAAAAGGTTTATTAATAATTTTTGTGTTTGATTCAATTTTCCTTCATCTATAATCCGAAATTCATTTGAAAAAATAGTTTGTACTTTCGATAAACCTTTTTGGTTATATGAGAAAATAGTCAACAAACAAAAGTTAACAGAGCTGAGAATGTTTTAGGTATTAAAACCGAATCAATTCAAAAGTGAGAGAAAAACACTAAAGGACAAAAGCAGTCCAAAAATAGTAAAGCACACACATACAAAAATTAGCATAGATTTTCCAGAATTGTTTTAAGGAGTTTTCTGTCAGCTTTAAGTATTGCAAAAAACATTTTACTGGGTTGGCTGCAAAAAACCAGACTTATGTCAAAGCAGCTCAGAGAATGGCAAACTGACAGACAGAGAGAGAGATAGAGAGAGAGAGAGAGAGAGAGAGGGAGAGAAAGAGAGAACAGTTAAAAGGCGCAGCGAAAAAATTTACATAAAGGAAACATAAATGTGACAATTTCATTTTGGAGTATGCCTTAAAGGATTTACCCACACAACAGGCATACAAACTTGTGCTATATTTTATTTGCACTTTTCTAAAATTTATAGACGCTTTTCAAATTTACTGCCAATGAGTGAATAAGGCAAAGAGCGCTCCTCGACTTGCCTGCCAAGGACATGCCAAGAAAATAAATATTTGGCTACAAGTGCCACGCAGACGGAGTAGACTTGTGGACTTATATAGACTTGCTGACAGTTCGGTACTCAGTCGCTTGCCTCAAGTGCCATAAAGTTTATTTAAACAAATTGCCTATTTTACAAGTGTCTTCAATTTTATTAAGTGCGCAGTTTGGTTTGCAAAAGAAAATAATGTATAAAATAATGGCACCACGCCCACAAAACATTGCAATTGGTTTGCTGTTCTTTGCCATTTCTTGTTTGAGTTTCGGCTCAGTGGAAAATAAGTGTAGGAGTCTAGTCTAGTGTAGCCCATTGTCATGTGGCCAAAACTGACACTAATGTGAGGCCATTGAATCTGACGAGAATATGTGGCATGCAACTAAGCTAAAGTAAAAGCCACCAGGCGCATCCAATGTGGAAAATCAAGTTTAAACTTGAATGTTTTGCATTCTTCGTGCTTTTGTTGGTATTGTTGTTTTGGTTTTGCTGTTTTGTTGTTATGGCTGCTGCATACCAAAACGGGACTTATATAGAACAACAAAAACAACAACAACAACAGCAACAACTATATACTAGGCGTCTCAGCTTCTCCAGCTTAACTGTAGTCGCATAGTTGGCCAGACAGCGGCATCGTCTATTTATTTTATTTTATTATTTTCGTTTCTATTTTTTTATATTTTTTTTTATTTGCCTTTTTGTACGCCATTTAGCCGCTCAATTTTTTTGTTACTGCTTATGCTGATGCTGCTGCGCAACTACGCTTTGCCAAGATTAGCATCTTTATTTGTGTTCGCCTGCCACAAGTTGAACCCATGCAAAAAATTCCAGTACAAAAAAAAAAAACCTCAAAACAAACCAAACAAACGCTCGGACTGCGTGGCTTGGAGCGTTGTCGCATTTATATGCAAATTATAGATGCTTGGCATTACTTTATGCTTGGGCCTGAGCTGATTTGTCTGCGCTGGCGTTTATCGTAAGCAGCCGAATGTCTCTAGCCGGATTTAAATTGGCTCAAGTTGCAGCCGCAGCAAGCCTGTTTTCTGTTGCCCACTTTTCGGGGGCACACAATTTGCATTATCCAGCCAACATGCGGAGTCCAACGCAGAAACTATGCCTGCAGCACAATGAAAGCAAAAAAAAAAAAATAAATAAATAGAAAAAAAAAAATTGCCTCTTGACTTTCTTTAGGCATTTTCACGGCAAAGTGAATTTGTCGTTGCGCGTGATGATTTCAACATTGAAAGCCACAAGCGACCAGCTGTGTAACAATCAGACAGGCAAACAGACAGACAAACAGACAGTCAAACAGACAAAGCAGCAGACTAGCAGGCGTACTTATACATAAGTAATACCCATCTGCATGTACACATTTGGACGTATAGACGGGCAGACAGATGACAGCCAACAACAACAAAAAGAATACCAACTACAACAAGACGAAGAACAACAACAGACAAATTGAAGTCTTCAATTGGCATTTGAAGTTGTTGGCGTTGTTAGGCAGCTGAAACTTTGTTCAAGTGCGTTGATTGCCGTGCAACCAAGTTGTCTGCCTCGTGTATTTTGTGTACCTTCCACAATACCCTAGCTGAACGAGGCAGACACCTATTGGGTTGGGTCATGTTGCTAGTATACATTAATTATTAAGTTTTTCTGTTTATCATATTAGAAATTAGTGTTTTCGTCTTGAATAAATGCTGAGGAAATTCTATTTTGGGCTAAGTTTATCAAATTAAACGAGAGGAGAATCCTTTCAAATATAATGTCTATTTTTAAATATACAAAACGAGGTTACAAAATAATAAATTTCGTTGATTCGGATTATTTATATAGATATTTATTTGTCCAAAATAGCTGTATGTATCAACAAGTCTTTTATGTTCAAAATATAAAATCCTAATTGTTGTATAAATTATAGAGATATTTATTTCTTGAGCTGAACTTGGCAAGATTATTGAGCTTAATTGTGCATCAAATAGTTTATCTACACTTTTAAGCTAGGCTCTCTTTCTCAGTTTGGCATATAACAAAAGATACATATGGTATTCAGTAGGGTATCTATGCTGCGAGTCCTCCAAATGACAACTATTCTTTCTCGTTATTATTTACATATACACAGACACTAGAATATATATATATGTATGTATGTATAGTATATACTTAGGTTCTCGGTCACAGATACAGCTGTCATGCCTTTTGCCACGCAGGTGAACTTTTACCGATGTGCCTCTTATAAACCGCACCTACACCCCCGGAACTGCTGTGTGTGTGTGGGTGTGTGTGTGTTTACTTGTGTGTTTTGAGGCTGTCATTAAGCTGCGGTTGCCACTGCCATTTGCAAATGTGTTTGCTATTGTCGTTGTTACTGTTGTTGTTGTTGTTGTTGTTATTGTCGGCTGTTGCTTGTTGTTTGTTGTTGTTTCGTGTTAGTACTAGTCAGCAGCTTTGACATGCTTCAAAAGACTCGTGTCACACTCAGGCTCAGTATGCAGCTTGCTGTTTGCCGCTTGCCGCTTGCCGCCCGTTGCAAGCAACATACAAAACCTGCCTCCGGCAGATCCGCCTGTTTGTCTGCCAGGCACTGTTGTTTGTCTATTGAAACTTTAAGCAAGTTTGCCGTTTGTTGGCTGCCATTGACAAAAAGCAAAATACAAAGCACAGAATTCACCTCTCTCTCTCTCTCTCTCTCTCTCTCTCTCTGTGTCGCTCTCTGCCTGTCACTCTTTCATTTTCAGCATTCCTCTGCCTCTGTCGCCCAACAATCTGTCGCAAGATATTTGAATATAGTTCCCCAGCTATGAAGGTAATCAGAGAACGAGCATGCATAAATTGAAGAATTATTTAACTATTTTCATGGTTTTTCTATCGCCTGCTCGTTCAGTTTTTCGCGTTAGTTGCGACAAGTTGTTGCCGCCACACCTCGGAGTTATTTCAACTGTAAAGTGCAACAAATTAAATTCACGAGCGCTGCTTGTTGCTGCCGTTGTTGCTGCCGCTGTTGCCTAGAGAGGAGCAACAAAAATTATGCAGCCAAGTTGCAAATTATCGTCCTTCGTGCCGCGTTCAGTGCCTCTCATTGTTGCTTATCATGCCGTACAATTCTCTACCCCATCCCCTCCCAGCCAGCCTTGTAACCAACTGCAGCGACATGGCCAAGATTATGGAAATTGCACACAACTTTCGCTCGCAACAACAAACAGGCAAGAAGAAGAGCTGTTTGCGACGCATTTGGCATTTGCTGCAATAAGAACTGTATGCAACTAACAACAACAACAACAACAACAACAAAAGCGCACCGCAGCTAATGATATTAACCATTTCTTTCCTTTCTTTTTTTTTTTTGTTGCCCCCATTTCCTTTTCGTCTGTCTGTTTGCACTTAAAAACGTTCTGCAAATTGTGAAAACCAAAGCGCGGTTTACACAGCTTGTTGTTGTTGGATAAAAACGTTTAGCAGTTGCTTTTCTTGTTGCCCTTTTTTCACGTTTTTCTTTTTTTTTCATTTTCATTTTCTTTTTCTTTTTTCTTTCTCTCTTTGCTTGTCACTTAGACGTTGAGCATTTTTACAAGTTCATTCAATTAGAAGTTGTGCGTCACGTTATTTGTGCTGCAAATTGTCTGCTTCCGATTTTGCCTGACTGTTTTGCTTAATATCTTTTTATGTTAATTTGTCTTCAGACTTACTACGTTCTTTAATATTTCAACTAAAGCATTTTAATGCTTTAAGAAATATATTTACCTAAATATTTGCTTGTCTTGTTACTTTTTTGCTTAGAAACAAGTCAAATTCGTTTCTTGAAATTCGATATTCCGAATATTTCCCAAATATTTACACTTCGTAATTACGTTTCATTTTAAATAATTTTTTATGTACACACATTTATATCCTAGATATATTTGTGTAGAGTAAAAATTACAAAATTGGGTTTGCTGTCTTTGCCCTTAGTTCAATTAAACATTGTTCTTAAGCTGTGCAAATCTTTGAGCTACGTAACTTTGTTAATTTGCTTTGCTTGCTCGAACTGTTTAATATCAAAAAAGTAAAATAATTTGAGCTGACATTTTAAGTGCATTAAAACTACAAAAACATTGCCACAACAATCTTATCATTTCTATAATTCCAAAGTAAAGGTGACCTAGTTACAAAACTTCAATTATAATGAATTCAATTATATTCAATCAGACTATTACATTTACGCAATCCGTAAATAAGGGATTGTCTATATATGGGTATGGCATGTATATATATATATATATATATACATATATGTATATATATATACATATTTAAAGCTAGCGCAAAAAGTTTTCGTTTGGTTTTATATTTTGTGCAGTATTTTTATGACATTTTCATCATTTTATCTGACGGTTTTTAGCCAATTGCTGTCTGCTGCTCCACATTTTATCCAGCTTTCGTACTTATTCTCTCTCCTTTTTTTTGCAGCTACGAGGCGCATTCAGTGTCTACTTGTGACTGACATCAATGTGCCACAAATTGTTGATTTTCGTGATAACGTGACATTATCCTGCAGCTATGATATAAGTGGTCACACGTTAAATTCGGTTAAGTGGTACAAAAACGACAGCGAGTTTTTTAGGTAAGTACACACATACACATACATACATACACATACACAAACACACGCTGCGTCAGTGTGTGTGCGCTTATAATTTATGATATTTATTTTTGTTATTTTTGCGAGGCTGCGCAGCTGTCAAATGCATCGAAATCTGTGCCATTGCCAGGAAGAGACAAATCCAGAGTCAGAGCCAGTCACAAAGCCAGCACAACCACACCCACAACCACCAACCCACCCCGACACATACACACAAACACACATACACACACACACAGCCACACATTCATTTGCCGCATAAATATGTTCATTGTCAAGCGACTTTCTTGCCTAGTGAATTATTAAATAAATTAATTTGCGTTGGTTCGTTTATGCTATGGCAAATTAATTTAAATGTCCTACCATATGAAATACTGTGTTGTGGTTTGCCCCGCACAACCCCCGTTTGTGGCACAACGCTTACAGCCATCAGTCACTTGGTTACTTCAGTGCTCACACGTAAGCGGCATTTAATATTTATGCCCCAGCTGTTAACAGCAGCAGCCGCCGCAGAAGCAGAAGCAGAAGCAGCGAGAAAGGCGTCAACAAAAGGCAACTAATTGCCCAAAAAGCTAGTATCTGGCTGTGAACTAATCAAGAACTAGTTTGAAATGATTATTAAATGGCATTTTGACCTCAAGTCAACCACTTCAAGTAGATAGCAATTTTACAATCGAGTCACAGACAGGCAGACAAATGGAATATATAATATTGCAGACAGCGTGTTCATTATCAGAAACCACAGCATGATGTATATAACTCCATAATATCTTCTTGAATCACAAAATCATTATCATCATCAAGTTTGTCTGTCGCATATATATACATACATATATTCATATATGTGTGTGCAGCTACAAATCTACATTCAAATATGAATATTTGCACTGCAATAAACTGCAGCGTAATGAAAAATCTCAAATGAATGCTTCGCGTTTTGCTTAATTAAAAATGAGCTTGAGCAGCGCTTAGGTGCTGTGCACACACACATAACACACTCACACACACACTCGTGCACATGCAACCCCAAAGCTGGAAGCAAGGCCTTGAATGTAGCTGGGGGGCTGCTATGCTAAGCGAAAGTTTTAATTAGACAGCAGAAGTACGTGAGAATCAGCGGAAGCCAATTGCAATTTTACTTGCACTTGTAATGCAGCTGCAAATGAATGCAAACAAAACTTCAAACTCTCTGGCGAATGAACAATTTTTGATCGAATCTTAACGCGCACGCTTTAAAGTTGATGCAAAGCAAACAATTTTGCACAGAGTCTGTGCCTTTTCTTGATAAATATGTTGCACATCTTAAAATTGTATACGTAAAAGAAGTAAGTTTTAGTTGTTTTTTCATTTATTACTTGATTGCAATTTAAGTCTTAATGGGACTTAATATAATCAGATGAAAGATAGCTCTTTAAACTTCATCAGATTTTACTTATTGATTTTTTAAAGCTTTCCGTACATATATATTTCCATGTGCTGGCGCAGAGAGCAGTAAATATTTAGCTGCTTGCAGATTAATTGTCTTTTTGCAAATATATATAACAGTTATTTTATTTTCTTATCACATTGAAACGACAAACTAAAATAGGACCTCAGTTAATTTGATAAATTAGTTTAACAAGCAAGCGAAATAAATTAATATATAATTAATATGTGCCAAGTTGTTCATTTTCAAGCCATTAAATCCATGTTTACTGTTATCTTCAAACATGCGCAGTGCTATTTGGGCTTTGCACATGACATAAGTATGGCCAAAACTTAATGTTGGCTAGTGGCAAATGAACACGGACTTGTGTTGGCTCCCACAAAATCCCTTGTAACGAGCCACGCCCACAAACCTAAAAGTGCCAGCCAACAGCCAGTTTATATTGCTTATCAAAGCAGCAGCCGCCGACGCCTAAGCCGCAAATAATTCGACCCCCACTTGCCTTGTTCGCCCCCCTGTCCCCGTCCCCGTCCCCATTCCCATCCCCATCCACGTCCGCTCTTAGACAAGCAACAAACGCTGGCTAACAGCTATTAACAAGTAGGGCACAAAGCGACTTATCAACACCACAGCAGCGGACAAAAGTGGGCCGCAATTCTTTGGAATTGCCCTTGCCAGCAGGAAAAGCTATTTATGCCACGTAAAATGTATAAATAGAGCATAATAAAACTCTAGGGATGTATGTGACAAAGGGACACTTTATAAAGTTAAAAAAAACTCCCATATAGGGTATACTCTTAGTCTTATACGAGTACGAGTAAATCACTTTTGTTGTTGTTTATTTATGTGGCTGGGCCACTTTTGTTGTTCAGTGCTGAACAAGTTTTCCACTTGAACACTTTTGTTGTAGATTTTTATACACATCGATTTGAGGGATTAATGAGCAACAATCTACAATAGAAAACAAATTGAAGAAATCTCACAACACACACACACACAGACAGACACACACACAGACAGACACACACACAGACAGACAGAGTCAAGTCGGTTGAGATTGAGTGCATGTAAGCCACTTGTCTGCGAAATCTCCATTTCCTGGCCTAGCTTCGTTTATGGCTGGAAAGCTTTTAGCCAGCCTATATGTATTTGGCCGATTATCAGCTGACCATAGCCACGAAAAAAAAAGGACACCAAATGGAAGCTGGCGCAATTTGCGACCCATTTAGCCAGCACTCAAGGGAAAGCAATAGATCTATAGCAATAACCCTTTTTGACTATTCACCATCTCCTTTTCTCTCTCACCCTCTGTCTCACCCTTTGTCTCTCTTTCTCTTTTTCATTTTATCCAATCGCGTCAACAGATATGCACCACTGATGCAGACCGTTTTCAGAAAATTCCCGGTGCAGGGCGTGCAATTGATCGATGACGGCAACGAGTGCAATGAATCCTCGTGTCGTGTGGAGCTTAATTTATTGGGCGTCAAGTCATCGGGCGTCTACAGGTGCGAAGTGTCCGGCGATGCGCCACACTTTAAGCTCACAGCGCGCGCCGGCAACATGAGCGTTGAAGGTAAGACAACCGTGGGCTAAAGGGGCGTATAAGTAATGAAATATATTTTCAACTGTTTGCACTGCATTAAGGTCTATGTGAGCGTATATGTGTGTGTGTGTGTGTGTGTATATGTATTTATTTGCATGTGGGCGCGTATTTTATGCAAATATACCCCCAACCCACACCACGATGCCTCGCTGCACTGCAAAAATCTAGTAAAATGTGTAATTTCCGTGATATTTTAATGGTAAACAACATGAGGGAAAAACGGCAAAAAACAATCTGAGCCGTTTGCATATGTGCGTATGTATGCGTGTATGTGTGTGTGAGTGTGTGTGTGTGTGTGTGTGCCCACTGTGGGCCAAAGTGGCTGTATCGCGCAATATGCAGCGTGGAGAATGCAATGTGCAGCGTGCAGTGGCCAGCAACACGCACACAGGATAAGCAGCCCGGCAGCAGGATGTGTTCGCGAAAGAAACATTGAGCGAGGCAGCAGGCTGAAACTGAATCTATAGTTGTAGCTGTAGTCGTAGCTGAAGCTGAACGTTTTCATAAAAATGTAACCAAGAGATGCATGTGATTCGCATCCCATGACACACACACAGACACACACACATCCAAAGAGGCGTGCACACACAAGGACGTTAAAATAGCGAACAGGAATCGTGCTTGCTTGCGTCGAGTCTGCGGGTGTGCGAATCTCTATGTGTGTGTGTGTGTGTGTGTGTGTATGTATGTGTTTAAGGTTGCTGGTGTGCGCCTCTGTGATTTACGGCAGCACTTTATGCTTAAAAAGGATATCGCTAAAATGAAAAGCTCCGCTACCGAGTGCCCCATGCCACATGCCTCGTGCCTGGCTGTCTTGCTTGCCTTGCTGCTCGTTCTGCATCAATATATGCATGTGTACATGTGTGTTTGAGTGTATGCTCATTTTTTTTGTGTACATTTTCGCTTTTACTTTTACCCACACACATACACACACACACACACACACACACACATATATATATATATGCACACTCAGCAGGATGTTTCAGCGCGTCCTGCTTCGCTCTCTTGCTCTGCATGTGTTTTATGATCATCTATTTTTCCGCTGATATAAAATAAATATCTTGTAGATGCGCTGCGTTACATGTTGCCTTGCCGTTCCTGCTGTTGCTGCTAAAATATTTTTAAAAATTTATCAAAAGCAAATAGAGAAGTTGTAAAAATAAACAACAACACGAACTGCTGTATTTATATTAGACAACACAACATTAGCAACAGGAGCAACACAGACAACAGAGGCAACAAAGTGCACCATTTGCATATTTCATGCATGTTTAACATCAGCTACTGAAATGTCACTGGCTTATTTACCATCTAGCTGTTATAATCTCATTACATATTATTTAAATTGCATCAGCAAGCTCTGCAACATACAAGCTTAGCTACAGTTCTGAGCTGTAATAAAATTGGTATATTTAATTAAATAGCTTTGGTCTTAAAGATGTGGGGGAAGGAAAACAACAGTCGTCAGCCAGTTAAAGCTTATTGGTGTCGCCAAAATTGACCGACAGAGATTTATACTCAAAATATGTGACTTAAACCAAATACCAGCATTGTCAAAATTAAATATAATATACCGAAGATCAAACTTAATTATTTAATAAAGCCTCAAATTATAAATTTAAGAATGACTTATGCCATTAAAAATATATTGAAGCAATGATTAGACTAGCTAAGCACATTAAATAAAATTTAATTGATTTCCATAGTGAAATTATTTTAAATTTTAAGTGTGAAAGATACAAATTGAGTATGTATTTCTCGATTTTTAAGAGAGAAAAATATAAATAATATTTTAACAAGCTTAAAATAATTTTTCAAATGTTTATTATGATATTTTTTCTTACAGCGTTGCCGCAAAACAATCCGCTCATCAGCAGCTTTCACTCGATGTACCGTTTCGATGATTTCGTCCAGGTCAACTGCAGCACCGACTTCTCCAGTTTGTTAACCAAAATAACCTGGTACATCAACGGTGTTCGGGTATGTTCTACACACACACATAAAAATACACTCACTAACTGTACTTTGCTTTAGGCTTCCATATTGGATATGCAACCAAGTGTGGAGACATCAATTGCGGCGCATGACTACAATTTGAGGCGCATCGTGTCGCAGTTGAACTTCTATGCAAACGATCCACGCTTCCATCAGCTGCAGTTGCAGCAACTATTACAGCAGCGGCAACAACAACAACAACAGCAGCAACTGCGCTCAATGTCGCCACTGCGTCTGGGCCTGGAGCTGCGCTGTGTGGCAGAGATCGAGAGTTATCCGCAGCTAATGAGAGAGACCAGCCTGCAGGCGCATCTGTTTCGCGATGATATCGATCTGAAGAATCAAAAGCTGTTCAAGTCAGGTAAGTAAACCAACAGCCAGCAGCCAACAGGCAACAGCCAACTGCAAATGCTGTTGCTACTGTTGCAATTAATCAGCATGCGACCGCAATTTCAGTTACCGCTTAAATGATATACATGTGGCCGTTGCTAATTAAAAATAAATGCATATCCAAATACACTGACAGCGGTCGCATATTTGGACAATTTGTAATAAATATAAACCAACACATACATCTATATCTATATGTATATATAATTGCAATCTCTCTGTCTCTTTCTCACTCTTTAGCCGCGCCCGGTGTCGCTTTGCTCAGCGCTCAGCTGTTGTTGGTCGCGACAACCGCAACGGCAGCCGCCATCAGCACACAGTGGCTCTTCATGCCGCTAACGTTGCAGCATGGCGCCAAAAAGTTGACCCGCTACAAAAATGTCAACGGCAACCGTTAGTGCTGCACATTTAGTTTTGGGTCTTTTATTTATGTTGGTCTGTGTATTGGTTTTGTAAACATTTTTTAGCTTTAAGCAACTGAAATGCACGTGAGAATTTACAATTACAATTACAATTACAATTACAAATACAACTACAACTGATATGTATGTACGTTACTTGAATTAGTCTAAGTCGCGTCAAGCTAACCTGTGTAAATAGTCTGTAAGTACGAGTATGAGTATGCAATACAATAAAAGATCATCAATAAATATTACTTTATTACTTTCACTTTCTCACATTGTAAACTAGCTAAAATATTTTCAACATCTTTTTTACAATTTAAATATGCGTGGCGATAACAAGAATCGTTTGGTCAATTATTATTTTATTCAGAAATAATTGAGATTCCAACACACTCAATTGAGCGACAGCATAAAAAAATATATATTTATAACTTTTCACATTTGAATTGGTCTTAAAAAGTAGCATCTGCTAATTATTAAATTGACCAGAACAAAAAAAAATGAATCAATTAAAATTTCATTAGAAGGAGAAGAAAGTATTTCACTCCAGCATTCCGTTGCATTTGTGGTATAGTAATTTCCATGACATTTTATTGATATGCCTGAATACATGAATATTCAGAGCAGGGGGTCTCATCTATGCTCACATCGCTGCAGTTGACCGTCTCCATTTATTTCATTTTAAAATCGAATTCAATGAATTCAATTGCAGTTCCTTTTTGCATACGCAAGTTTGTGGCTACAAAAATGCGCGCCAGGCAACACTCCGGCTGTGTGTTGGAGCATGTGTTAATGGTCCCCGCCTCCGCAAAATGCCCACCAACCCACTTGCGTTACGCGCTTCCGACCACATTGGAATACATTCACACACGCCAACGAATACCACACACATACCCATACACATATCCCACATACATCCCCAAACACTCAGATTGCATATCAATTACAGCTCTTGACAGGCCGAGATTGATTTTTGTTTGCTTTAAGGGGCTTGGTCTTCATTTCCGGCTTAAATATTTAATTTATTTTCATCGAATTTAACGCTATTGCTACAAACTGCTGATGCCACATTTCTCTATAGAAAACGAAGAAACTTTCTGCTTAAATAACAAAGACAATTCCCTCGATGGTCAATAAAGAATCGCATGCGATTGTTGTAGATATATTTGATGCCTAAGTGTTTTTCCCAATAATCCCAAGGGGATCTTCCGATAGTCACAGAAAAGTTTTTAGTGAAAGTTACAAATTAATTGAAGAATCTTCTGCGAAAATCTTTCGCTATAGTCAAAAACTTATATTGTCATATTTCTAAAGAAAAAATGTTCCGCAATTGACTAAGAAATCTGACTTACAAAGCCCAGAAATTGACATTTTGTGTCTTGTGTAATGTTCAAAAAATGTACCGTGTGTAGTTTGGCGCACCTGTGTGTAGTACTTGAATATGGTTCCCAAACGCTGTATCCTTCACATATCAGACACTATTTGGAGCGGTTTAAGCCCCTCTGTCTCGTGATACTGCAGTTGCAAAAGCTCTGCTGCAGCAGATTATCCGCAGTATCATCTTCCTTCAATATTGATGAGGTTGTCCACATATTGGGCAATGGCTGCCACAATGGCAACTGGAAGTGAGTGAAAGGGCTGGCTGGCTGGCGAAAGCGAATCAAGAGCAAATACAGTCATTTAAAAAAAAAGAAAATGAGGAATCAAGGTTTGGAGGGGTAGCTAGGATAGCCCAAGGAAGTAACAGCAACGACAACAGCAACAATGACATCAAAGTACGACGACAGTAAATAGCTGGCTCAGTAAAATGACTATTAAGCGATAATTTATTTGTAATCTGCGACGTGAATGGAACTCAGCTGGTTGCATCTGCAGGCGGTAGCTAGAAAGCGACAGGAAGCAAGATGCATGCTGCTGCCATTGCTGAAAGCAATCCTCGCGTCCCTTGAGGCAATAAAAATGGCTGTGCCAGCAAACTGCTGCAATGGACGGTGCAAATATTTAAAGACGCTAACGTTAAGTTGGCCAGTGGAATGCAGTTACCAGTTGCAAGTTGCCAGTTGGCTGCCGTCTGGAATTGTGAACCTCAAGGCCCCGAAGGCAATTCGATGCAGACAATGTGGACAGCTGTTGGCTCTGAGCAGCTTAAAGGGTTTTGTGATCCTCTGGGCAAATACTTAGTTTCGAGTGCTCCGCTTACATAACAACAAATGCCAATTACAATTGCTTTAATGTGCGACTCCATCTCCATCTCCAGCTACAGCTCCAGCTCCGGCTCCAGCTCCGGCTTCAGCTACTGTTTGACATGAGGGGTGGGGTCAGTGAGGCGGTGGCGGTGGCGGTTCACAAAACCACAAGGATTAAGTAATTTCTGCCAGACATGCAGCAGCCACAATCACCAAATGAACACAAAAAGTTTGTGAGCCCAGAAAGGAGATGGAGAGGCGATGTGGGGCGAGACGGGGCAGGCACTCTAATGCACTCGTGTGTGCAATAAATTGGCATATCCTTACAAAGCACACACACACACACACACACACAAACGTAAAGAATGAGAAAAGAAGAGAAAGAGATCTTGAGAGAAAGAGAGAGAGAGAGAGGGACGGATACAGCGACGGAGAGAGGGACACAAAAAAACCAATGAGTTTTGCGTGTGCCAATGCGACTGTATTATGCACAGGATGCGCATAAGAATGAAAATCCTTTTGCACTTAATGGCAACACGGAAAATGGCAGCAGTAGCCGTTGCCGTTGCCATAGTCTGCAGTCTGTTCCCCGTCTGGCTGCTTGGCTTGTCCGTGCTTGGGTAATATTATTTTGCGGAAAATTTCTTATTTTCACCGTGGAAGCTCATAAAATTTTGCAGCTCTTTTGTGGAGTCATTGAAGCGACCCCGTTTTCTGTTGGTCTTCCGGTTGCTATCCCCCTTCCGTTTTTAACCATTAATTTGCAATGACCGTCGTCCATGTCCATGGACTAATATCTCTTTCCTTGCTGAACACATTTTATGAGCGTTTTCTCACCTCGCAGCTTGACTCACTTTTATTGTTTTTAATAAATTTTGCGCTTATGCGAGATATGCAAATATCCCTGTTGATGTCAAAGAACAATAAAATACTTGGTGCAATATTAAAACAGGTCGCTTTAAAGGTCTCACTCATCGAGTAAAATATATGGCCGCTGATCCGTTGCACCAGAAGATGGATGGCAATTATTTATTCAAGCTACACGGCAACTAGCACACAGCACTCACAGCACAGCACATCACAGCTAAAACGAAAAATTGTGTCCTGAATCATTGGGCCACGATGCTGAAATTGCACATATTTTGCTTTGGTAGCACCATTTTTTTAGTCAGCGCAGCTAATGAACCATTGGCAATCGTTGTGAGCAACTAAGTATGAAGCTAACTCTTCCCAGACGTATATCCCTAAACCCCAATCCCTCATTCAAAGAGTACACGCTCTCTGAAGTGCTTCAATATTCAAAAAGAAATATTATCGAATTATTCGTTGACCAAAATGAATATTTAGAAGTATTTATAGGTCTGTGTAAGTGTTTAGATGACGGGAGATATAACAAGATTTCGACTGACTTTCCAAATTTGAAACTCTGAATTGCAAGTCGTTATTTTAATGTTAGCAGTTGACTAAGAGGATAGAAAAGTTCAGAGGCAAAGCACTTATCGTGCAAAGGTCACGAGCTCAAAAAGGTCACGAGCCCAAAGAGGTCACGCGCTTTGCGACTCGCAAATGCTTATGGACAAACAATAAATAGTATAAGGGTCACAGTTCAAAGTTTATTTTAGAAGAGCTAATATACGTTGGAGATCAAGAAGGAGCATTTATGTTAACCTATTTATGTAAACCAATGAAGACAGAAGTCTACCAATACAGATCTTCCTATGTTCCATTTTGTATCTATCGTTGCTATCTGTACTATTATTAATAAACAAATAATATAAAAGACAACAGCTTGGACTTCACAATAGTTTTGTTCTTGTCTTGTAAATAAATTAAAAAACTGAATCAGCTGCAAAAGCGGGAAATGCTGGTGATTGTCATTGGCAGCGACGCTGTCACCTGCCACAAGCAGCGGTGGCGACACAAAGCTGGAAAATTGAATGTACGGCAATTACAACAATAAGCCAAAGCACCGGCAACAGCAACAAAAATAACAAGAACAACAATAATGACAATTGCAATTGTTGCGAATGCGGACCAAAAAGAAAGTGGCAAACAGAAGGAAGATGAAAGGGAAGTGGAGTAAAGTAGAAAAGCATTTACTTGAATTGACTTCATCCGCTTTGTTTGTAGCTGCCACAGCTGCAACTGCTGCCGCTGTTGCTGTCGCTGTTGCTGCTGCTACTGCTGTTGATGTTGTTGTTGCTGTTGCTGCTGTTGCTTTGAACTAGCCAGAGCCGAGCAGGCAATCAGGCGCAACGACTTTCGCAAGGACAACGCCTGGTAACCGCAATTGAAATGTTTTCATTGCAACAACTAAAAATTGTCATCAGGATTTTCATTACCTGCGGCCAACTTGGCCTTCGCAACGGTTTATTAAAGATGCTGAATGCTTTGTGTGTATGTGTGTGTGTGTGTGTGACAACCACATACCCCATAACAACTCCCCCTCAAAGGACCACCCACCTTAGGCAGTTAGCTGGTGCTCGGCCTTAATTAAGTTTGCTGCCAGCCTTGCAGTCGGTTCGTTTTGTTGCCATTGTATGCAGGATTCATTTGCAACGCTCGCAAATCCCGTTATCGGGCGTGAAAAAATGCAATTAGTGTTTGCTGCGTGCATTTCAAGGACTTGCACTTAATTGCAAAATGCGGCAAATTAAATCATTTTTACTTAGCTCCCGCTCTCTTTCTCTATCTCTCTCTGTCTCCCCTTCCAACTATCCAACTTTTAAATGCCATCCAGCTAACCAAAAAATGTAGCAGGCAAAATAATATAAAATGCAGCAACAACAACAGATTCTCCGAATACACTTTAAATTGGAATAAAAGCCACCGCAACTGCAACACTGCATAGCAAAACTTTGAAATGATTTAGTTATTTTTGTATTATGGAGAAACGAGGCATGGCTTACAAGGCAGCTAGCTGCTATTTGGTTGACACATAAAAATTAGCATAAGTGTGTGGCTACCAAAAGAAAAGCTGTAAAAGCAAACGCCATTAAACACATCAGCTGGAAAGAAAAAACTCATTTCTTCTATGGCACTGGACAGCAAAAAAGCAATGTATA